ATGGGAAACCAGGACGGCTGCAGGAGGGAGAAGAAAAGGCTGTTTTTCTGCCTTTCTCCCTTCGGTTCGGCAACGCTTCCGCTGGAGCACTGCAGGGCTCGTTGTGATTCGCCTTCCAGCAGCTGCAGCACAGAGGAGTCAGAAACACGAGCGGTGCTGCTGAGCTGCGCGGCCCCGTGATGTTGTTTCTGGCCGGCAGTTGGCTGAGCTCATGTCTTGTAATTAGTGGGTGGGCTCGGGGAGACCACTGCGGCTGCTGATCTCCCGGGGAAAGGGAGAAAATGAGCAGGATTAAGGAATTTCAGAAAATTACAGGCGTTCTCATTCCGCGTGAGCTTTGCCAGAAAAACTGAGCCCTGGAGAAGGAAGGGCTGCTGAGAGCTGCGTTGGCCGTGGGCAGGGCCAGAGGGCTTTGTCACCCATCACCCAACAACTCCGTGCGCATGTTGGGTGCCCGGTGTCTGTCTGCACAGGGATGTCTTCGTTCTCAATGAAGCCAAGCTGTTGAGGAGACACCACCACGTCCCCATGGGCCGCTGGAGCCTGGCTGAGCTCATCCCCTTCTTGCCTACAACCCACTGTCACTCACTGGGCTGTGTCCTGGTTTAGGGGTCTGGTAGGGGTCTGGTAGGGGTCTGGTAGGCCCTGTGCCCACCAACCTCCCCTGGGGGGCTCTGCGTGCCCACACAGCCCCATGGTGCTCGGAGCTCAGCACACCAAGATACAAGCAGTTCTCTGAGTGCCACCTCCACAGAAGCAGACTTCCCCCTCCAGCATCACCTGACTCTCGTTGGGATTTCCCCCAAACAACCATTTTTTCTAGCTTTTTGTTTCAAGAGGAGCCCAGATCGATGTGCAGAGCAGATGGAGCTGCCCATCTCTGTGCCCACACACGTGTCCTGCAGCTGCCTCCCGAACCACAATAGGCACAAACCCACAATGTTACTTCGACCTAATCCTGCTCTTCTACCCCATGGGGAGGCTTATGCAATGGGTCCTTCCAGTGAGCAGCTCTATCTCTACATATCCACATATCTGGGTGTGACATGTTTATATATTCCATCTCCTGCCCAGTGCAGACATTAATCATGCACTGTTCCACCCAAGCAGCCTTTCAAAGCACCCAACGTCCCACTGGTGATGACTGCTTCCAACATCCCCCACACAAATCCCACACCCCGGACACCGGCCCTAAAATAAAGAGTTTACAATGAAAAACAGCCAAGTTTGGGCAGATCCCTAAAAACCAGCCTGCTTTGGGCACCGCTTTCCCATGGCAGGTGGCAGCTGTCACCCCACTGGGACATCTCACCCTCGCTCTGGTGGCTGGCATGAGTCCATCAGTCTGCACCCACAATGAAGGCACCATTTGCTCCCTCTCCCCCAGCAGCCTCTCTGTTCCTCTCTTGTTATTTCAAGAAAATGGCCCTGTGGTTTCTTTGCCACATGAAAGCACCCCAGGGCTCAGGTGGACACTCTGGCTCCAGCTGAGCTGCCAGCAGTCCCTGCGGTTGGGATTTCCAGGGGAGAACAATTGTACCAGTGCAGATTGGAGGCACAGATACCCAGCTCAGGTGGGGCTGTATAAGCACAGATTGCCCCAGCGTGCACCAGGATGGCTCCGTGTGCTGCATTTGTTTTCCCCCTTATGGGTTTTGGGTTCTCCTGGTGATCACCACTGAAGCTCCTGCCCTGCTTATGGCTTTAATGGCATTAAATCACAGTGCAGGGGCCACGCTGCACACACTGAGCTCCCCAGATAGGGAGTTACAGCTCCATCCTACCCACACCTTTCAGGTGCTGCTGCTCGTTTTGCCTCTTTTCCTCCTGTTTTAAAGCAACCTGATCAATCTGGAATAGGAAGATCTTCATTCCCTCCATAAATCTCTGATTTGTTCCAGTGTGATGTGACCCCTCCTTCCACTGAACAAATGCTGAAGCTTTGCCCTTCTGTGGGTCCTGCACCCAGCAGTGGGGCTGCATCCCCAGGGCTCAGGAGGAGCGCGCTGATGGTTTGCAGATGTGATTTCATTTTCAATTGTTTCTGATTTCCTTGGTTGTTGATTTTTTTGTTTGTTTGGTTCTAGAAAACAGACTATTTCTTCAGGGAGTGTTAGCCACAGGCCTCGTTGGGCATTGTGTTTTATTCCATTGTTTTTTGTGTTGTGTGATTAGCAATATTGAGTTACATAATGATAAGCCGTGGTGCCTTATTACAAGGCTGAAGGCACAGTTCCTATCCCAGCTCACAGCCTTCAGCCTGAGCAGGTAGCACAGTACAAAGGCAGAGGATCATGGAATCATATAATCACAGAATGTGATTACATTGCTTTGGAAGGGACCTTCAAGAACCATGGTTGGGTTGGAAGGGAGCTTGGTTGGCTGTCCCTCCTCCCCCTGCAGTTCAGGCTGCCCAGAGCCCCATCCATGGCCTTGGGCACCTCCAGGGATGGGGCACCCACAGCTCTGGGCAGCAGTGCCAGGGCCTCACCGCCCTCTGAGTAAGGAATTTCCTCCTAAATCTCCCCTCTTTCAGTTTAAAGCCATGAAAAAGCGGCTTGCGCCCAGCTGTTGGAGGCAAAGAGCTCCTGCAGGTAGAGAAAGGAGCCCCTCTGCCCACAGAGACACTTTCAGGAAGCTGAGGACCAGCGAATACAGGAAACTGTAATTGAACTAAATCCATCTCTTTAACCTCATTATTAGGATTGGGATTATACGCTTTGGAGAACGTTCAGCCCCCATGTAAGGAGCTGGGAGCAAATGCCAGAGGCTGCCCTGGGCTCCCCAGAGGCACCGTACAGACCCAGCACAGCAGCTACAGCTCATCCTTTGTGCACAGCTCCTGACAGAGGAGCACTCAGTGAGGGCTCCCACCTGTTCCCATGCACCACTCCTGCACTGCTCCCTGTCTGCTGCAGGAAAGCGTCAGCAAGGGAAGAGGGCAAAGGTGAAGTGTTATCACGGTGCACGTGCTAAGTTTTCTTTGCAGCTCTGTGGAGTGTTCAGCACCTCAGTAGTAGTCAAACAGCTGTTGAATGGGGCTTTGTCTATGGCTGGGTGAGACTGCCTGTCCTGTGACAGCCGGCACCGCAGAACTGCCTGCAGTATGGATGGATGCCCCATCCATCCCTTTCCGTGCACTATCCCAGCTCCAGTGCTCATCGGTGAGGTGCTGGCAGCCTGGTGCCTGGGCTGCATGAACACGGAGCACAGAGGTCCCCACCTGCACCATCACTCCCACACAGCTGTGAATATCGGTGGCCAGTCCTAAAATTGGTGGATTTAAACACATTGGCTGAGTGAGCATCTGCCATTCACTGCATGACCAGGGTGGTAGGACTGAGAGCGGGGCTGTACCTGCCCTGTTTTGGGAACGGGGATGGGGAGCTGAGCAGGAGCTCATGGCAGGGTAGGGGCAGAGCAGGCATGCTGTTTGCAAGTGCTACCATAGGACGATACTCTCCAAACATGACCTGGGAAATGAAAAGAGGAGAGAGGAGTGGGTGGCTTCCCTGCTTGGCACTGGTTTTTATACACCGAATTTCCTGCCCAGGGAATCTCAGCATAACCCCCAGTGCTCTGCAGGCAGAGGTGGGCTGGGGAGAAGCGGGCTCTCCGTGTGGCTCTGCGGGGCGAAAGGCACTTACGGTAGAGGTGACCTTTCCAAATCCCTGCTTTGGACAGACATTTCCAATAAGGGCTGCAGAAATGCCTGCCAGCCCCAGCCCTCTCAGCCTGCTCTCCATTTTCCTTCCATCCTCTCCAGGCTGAATTTAATCCGAGAAGGTTCCTTTGAGCTTTTGTGTGTTGCTGGGGGAGATGTGGGCGCGCAAGGGATCGCGTTACAACTTTCATTTCCTGAAATGTTTGAGGGAACATCCAGGGTTTTATCCACACATCAGGCAAAGTTGAGGGCTCAGGTTTCAGGTCTTGTCACTCAGCTGTCACCAAACAAATGAGCCTCTCAGAGCTGGAGACGGGGAGAGCTACCTGCTATTCATGACCCCAAAAGCAGGTGATCACTCATGGGAAAAGCAGGTAGAATTAATCATTCTGCTGTTCCCCATTTCCTCCCCTTTTTGGCTGACCTGGACACAGTGTGAAATCTGTCCTGGGAGGTGAGTGAGGGGGGTGAGGGGGGATTAACCCCTTCCTGCCGATGAAAGCAGAGCAAAGTGAGGTGAGGGCGGGCCCGGGCTGCTCCCCAGGGTGGCTGTGCTGTGACAAGCTTACTGCGAGGTCAAGCGCGCCCGGAGGGAGCCGACAGAAGTGCGCCGGGCTCCGCTTCCATCCTGCCCGGCCCCGTCTTTCCTTATGTCCAGCATTTACTTCCAGGGCCTTCCCTCCGGCCCTCCTCACCTACCTGCAAGCTCTCCCCGGTAGGGAATGCAGAGCCGGGCCGTACGCAGGGCTCTGCGGACAGAAGGGTGTTGCGCACGGCGCTGCGCGGCATCTGCGCGCTATTTGCGCTGTCCCGCTCTGCAGCCGACAGGCCTGGCAGCGGCTCTGCACGAAGGAGGGGGAGCTGGGAGAGCTGAACCCCCCCGGCTGCCCCCCGGAAGCGGAGCCTTAAGGCCGCCTGCGCGTAAGAAGCGCCTCTGCGCCGTTTGCTTTGAAAATAGCCCCCGGCTCGCGATACCCGCTTTGATTTGCGCGGCGCAGGGCTGGAGCCCCGCGCAGCGTTTATCCTTCCACTCCAGCGAGCTTCGTGACGGGGCCCGATCAGTGCCCTGCGACGAGCAACGCGGGTCCTCCGGCCGCGCTGCCCTCCCCGTCCCGTCCCCTCGGACCGGCCGTACCCTCCCCGCTTCGCGGCGCCCCGCAGCGCCCGGCCCGTGCGCGAAGCGAGCGGAGGGCCTCGCGGAACCCGTCGGGATCGGCGCCGCGTGCCCGGACGGGGCGGCCGCCGCCACAGCCGGGGAGGATGAAACTCGCTCTGGCGCTGTGACCCTGCGGCCGGAGTCGGGAGGGAGGAGCCGGGGGCAGCCGAGGAGCGCGGCGGGACCCGCTCGGGAAGAAGGCGGCCGAGAGAGACCCTCCTGCAGAGGGTGACATTTCTCCACGGCCCGAGATCCCGAGTACAAACACGGTGGAGCCTTAAATAAACACCCGCTCGATGGTGCAAAACGCGGACGCGGGGGTGTGCGGAAAGCGGCACCATCCGCGCCGTGCAGCCGGGGGCGGTGCCGGTGTGCAGCTCCCGAACCCCGACCTCGGCTCCGTCCCTCGGTGGTGGCACAGCGAAGGGGCAGCGGCGGAAGGAGAGCGGCTCCCACGTCGTGGGAAGGGAGGGAGAAGGGGGGTGTGAGGAGCCTCACAGAGAAGAGCGCAGCGTCGGGGTTCTGCCATCAGCGGTGTTTAATTTCGGCTGTTTGAGTACAATAGAAAAGAAACCTGAAAGCACACGCGAGGTCGGTAACACAGACTCGAGGCAGACAGCTGCGGGCTCACTGAGAGGCAGAGCTGGGAGTTGGGGGGGGGGCAGACAGAGAGAGACGCTCCTGCAGAAGGAAAGGGCCGTCCGCATTTATTATCGCTGTTGTTCTTATCCTAATGTGTAGCCGAATCGCTGCGTGTCCCGGCCGGGGAGCAGCACCGCCGCGTTAAGACATAGGCACTTGGTAAAACCCTCATACTGTCGCTTCCTAATTATATTTAGATATATTTTTTCTTTTTTAACTACATCGAAATCCTTCTGGTGAAGCTAAATATGAAAAAAAAAAAAAAAGAAAAAAAAAAAAAGAAATGTAAACGAAAAGTTCCCCTCCCTCCTCCTGCTGCCACAAAGGGCCCTGCACTCCCTCTGCCTCTGGGCCGCATCAGTTGGGATTTATGGGGCGCAATGGGGATCCGAGGTTCGATTTTTTTCCCCCACCCTCTCCCCTTTCATTTCTCTTTCTGTTATAATTCCCGCTCACTTGAACTCGAAAGGCTGAGGGCTTTCTGCCGCTCTCTGCGTTTGGCTACGTGGAAAAAAATATCAATAATAATAATAATAATAATAACAATAAAAATAACGACAGTAGGGAAAGGAGTTGGGGGGGGGGGGACCGGACCTGGAGCTGAGACCGTGGAGAAGAGCCGAAGTCACGTTCAGGATCACCGTCCGCTATGTACAACCGAGAGTCCGTGTCCGCGAGCGGAGCCCTTTAGGAGCCCAGGTCCACCAGGCTGGAGGTGAGCGGCCCCAGCAGCGAGTCCTGGAGCTGATGGCCCGGGAGGCTGTGCGTGCCCGGGGGGGCGGGCAGGGAGCCCAGCGGGTACGCGGAGCTCCTGCCGTGAGCGAGGTTCCCCTGCAACAGGAGGACCGAGTTCTGATCCGGGCTCTGCGGGGGTGAAAATTCTTCCTCGGAGCTGGACATGAGGGGTTTGCTCCCGTCCAGAGGGGAGAGCTGGTTGGGTTTGTTGGTGGCCGCGTTGTTGTTCTCCGTGTTCTCCCTGCGAAGGCAGAAGCACAGCGGGCGATCAGGGCGGGGGCCTCCGGGATGGGGGAAGGAAGGGAAAAAAAAAAAAAAGGAAAGGAAAAAAAAAAAAAAGGAAAGGAAAAAAAAAAAAAAGGAAAGGAAAAAAAAAAAAAAGGAAGAAAGCGCCCAGTATGTTCCTAACGGATCGTCCCGCAGCTGCCGGGCTCGGCCCCTATTTAGACAGCTGCTGCGCATCGCGCGCCCCGGAGCTGCCGGGAACCGAGGTGAGGAAGGACGCGGGGACTCCGCCGTTTCTTTTCGTCCGTCTTTTTCATTGCAAAACCCAGCGCGGCCCCGCGGGCTCGGGAACGGCGCTCGGCGGGGCCGGGATGGATTCTCACCCCGCGGGGCCGCGGGCGGACGCGGAAGCGGGAGGAGATGCGGGCCGGGCCGCAAGAAACAGCCGCCCCGAGCCCACACCGCGCGGAACCGCCGGAGATCCCCCCGGGGCCGGCAGCTGGGCCGCGGCGCTCGCGGCCCGGAAGGCACCGAACAAAGGCGGGGGCGGCCCGGGAGAGCCGCCGGAGAGGAGGGGGTGGAAGGGGGGGTCGGTGTCCCCGGGCAGGTGGGAGCGGGTCGGGACCGCCCGGCGGGGGCGGCGGCTCGGAGCTCCGGTGCCGCGCGTCCGGCGGAGAGCGCGACGCGGAACGGGGCGTCGAGGGGATCGGGGCGGCTGTCCGCGCGGGGCCGGGAGAAAAAGGGAGGAAAGCGGGAGGGGAAGGCACGTACCTCTCCTTGGCCTCCGCCGCCCGGTCCCGCTGCCGCCGGTTCTTGAACCAGTTGCTGACCTGCGTGGTGGTGAGCCCGGTGGCCTCGGCCAGCTCCCGCTTCTCGCGGGGCGAAGGGTAGGGGTTGTGCGCGTACCACTCCCGCAGCACTCCCCGCGACTTCTCCTTGAAGCAGTAGCTCGTCTCCTCGCCGTCCCAGATGGTGCGGGGCAGGGGGAACTTTCGGCGCACCCGGTATTTGCCCACGGCGCCCAGCGGCCGCCCGCGCAGCTTCTCGGCTTCCACGTAGTGCGCCTTGAGCCAGAGCTGCTGCAGCTTGGGGTGGTTGTGGGGCGAGAACTGGTGGCTCTCCAGGATCTTGTAGAGCTCGCGGAAGTTGCCCCGGTGGAAGGCCACCACCGCTTTGGCCTTGAGGACGCTCTCGTTCTTGTGCAGGTGGTCGCAGGCCGGCAGCGACCAGAGGAAGCGGCCCAGGCGCTCCAGGTTCCCCCCCTGCTGCAGCACCTCGCACACGCAGGCGACCTGCTCCTGCGTGAAGCCGAACGACGGCAGCATCGACATGGCCGGGGCCGGGCGCCGAGGGGCGGCTCGGGGCTGCGTGCGGCACCGGGAGGCGGCGGAGGGGCGGGGAGAGCCCCGGGCCCGGTCCCGTCCCCAGAGCGGGGAGGCGCGGAGGCGGCCGCGGCGGCGGAGCGGGGGATGCTCGGCGGAGCGCCGGGGGGAACTTTGCCCCCGCTCCGCCGCCGCCGCCGCGCTTAAAGCGCCCGAGCCCCCGCGCCGCGCTGATTGGGCGCCCGCGGCTCGGCCCCCGTCGCGGAGGGCCCCGACCCGGCCCGGCCCAGCCCAGCCCAGCCCGGCCCGGCGGGCAGAGCCTCGGCACGGGCGGGCGGGGCCTGGCGGCGCGGCCCCGGCCCCGGCGCGGCTGCGCGGGTGCGGCTGCGGCTGCGGCTGCGGGGGGAGCTCCGGGCACGGCGCGCCCCGCACCCCGCGGGCATCTGCGCGGCTCTCCTGTTTCCATTCTGCTTCGTTTGTTAGCTTTTCATTTTTCTTTCTTTTTTCTTTCTTTTTTTCCTTTCTTTACTTTTTCTTTCTTTCTTTTTTCTTCCTTTTTTTTTTTTTTTTTTATTCTTTCTTTCATTTATTTCCCTTCATATACTTTCTTTTTCTTTCTTTCTTTCTTTTTTTTTTTTTTAAATTTCTTCTCCATTCTCTAAATTCCCCTCCTCGTCCCGTCTTCCATCACCCTCACTCCATGAATAAATACCGCTCGGCCGCACAGCGGATGCCGAGCGCTGAATAGCAGAGCGGAGGCGCGGTTCCCCCCCCCCCCCCCCCCCCCCTCGCACCTCTCCGCCTCCCCCTTCAGCCCGGGGGGGTCCGGGCCGGGACCGCTCAGGTCGGGAAAGAGCGGCCCTTGGAGCTGCCCCCGGGGAAGGGGGAAAAGAAAAAACAGCGGCGGCGCTTTCATTCGCCCAAATCCTCATCTGCACACCTCGCTCCAAAGCAATTATTGCAAAAATTAGAAAGCAATTAGGTTCCCCAAGCAGAGATAAGCTGCCGTCGGGAGCCTGGGCGGGCTGGGAGATGGGGACAATGCGCTGAGATAAGGGCGTGGATGAGGGTGTCTTTATGGCAGCGTTTATACGCGCTGAGATAAGCGGAGCGCTGCGCTTTGAGCACCCTCCAGCCGGCGTTTGGGTTCGCTCCGTGGGTTCTGAGAACAATCGAGGGGCTCTTGAAAACCTGTTTGTCTTCTCCGAGAGCGGGCTGATTTATTCCGCCGTGAGCTCCGCACGGCCGGGCCGGGCCGGGGAGGGCTCCGAGCTGTGGCCGGCTGTGCTCCCGCTGCCCCATCCCCGTATCCGATACCCGGCCCCGAACTCTCCGGCTGGACCCGGCCGGGTCCCTCCCGCCGCACCCCGGCTGCAGGCCCCGCCGCCGTCCCCCCATGTCTCGGTGGTTGTTTTTCCCACGTCTTTCTCTTCTCGGGGCGGTTAAATAAGGCGCTGCCGCCCGTCTGTCCGCTCTGCACCGCTCGGGCACAGCCGCGTCCCATGACCGCGTGTCTGCTAATTTTCCCTTCCATTTTATTTTAGTGCTTATGATGTTGCAGATGAAGTCTTAAAGAGCTGCAGTGTCCTCCCAGAAGGAATGTCTGCTTGGAACAGATCCTTATTGACAAGGCAGCTGCGTGGGGACCGGAACGGAGCCTTAAACCCGGCTCTAACACCAACTAATACCCTAAAGTCTGGAGCAAGTGCGCAGAATTACAGCGGTGGGCTCGGAGCCTCCCGCAGGAGCGGTGCCACGGCCGCACCGAACCCGGGACGCGCTCCCCACCCTTTTCCCTTTATTACGATGCGTTCCTCTTCTTATTTTTCCAAGAAAATTTGGGAAGCACAGACCTGAGGGTTCGTCCTTTCAGGGCTAAGGGGTGAAGGACGCAAAGCGGGGTCGTGGGGAGCCTTTTTTTTTTTTTTTTTTTTTCTAACGAGAGCGGCTTCTCCCTGCCAGTCCTTTCCTAAGGCCGAACCCAAACGTTGGGGCTCAGCCCCGAGCGGGGCCGCACCGCTCCGCTCCCCACAGCGCCCGCGGATCGAACGGGGCTGTGCCCGTGGGGCCGCTCCCAGCCCTGTGCTTTACCGCCTGCTTTTCCTACAAAAAAGTTTTCGCTTCAAACCATCCGAAAGAAAAGTAAAACGGCACGGATTTCCGAACCTCACGCTCCGTTTAGCCCCATAAATTCAGACGAGAAATGATTTCGAAGCGCTCGAATAAAAGCAATAGAACGGAGCTCGAAGCGAACGGCCGAACAGCGACCGGAGCGGTTCTGTGCCGTATGGATCGGGCTCAACCCGGCTCCGCTCCTTGCGCAGGAGCGCAAATCTCCGCGAGTTTATTCGATGCGGAGCGGGGATGGGGATGGGGACAGAGCCGGGGCAGCGCTCGACTGTTTTTTTACCGATTTCGCTGGGGAAAAAAAAAAAAAAAAAGTACAGAAAGCATAGAAATCACGGCCCCCTCTGCCCATCCGAAATATAAATAAACCTAACAAATAAAACTAAAGATCTCTATGTATTTTTAAAGTGCGGGTTTCTGGGGAACAGGAGCAGCAGAAGGCAGCGCTGGGAGCGGTGTCCGATAAGAGCCGCGGGCTCTGGGCTGGAGCCGGGCGGGCGGTAACAGAACGCTGCCGATTTCCGAACCTTTCGAAGGCGAAACCCAAAACCGCCCCATTAGTCAATGAGGTTTGTGTTGGAGAGGGCTCCTTTCCCATCCACTTGCTGTTCTGAAAAATAGATCACATTTCGTTATCTTTAGTGAGAATCTGCAACGTGATACCGGATCCGCTCTGCCTTCCCCGCCGAATGCGCAGGGAGACAGCCCGCTGCCGGCTCGCCCCGAACAATAAGGATTTGTGTCGCCTCTCCCTCCCTCTCCCCCCGTATTATTCTATTTTTTTAACGGGGAGCCTTGGGATGGTCGGGGGGTGGGGGGGGTTACGACCCCCTCTCCCTGCACAGCGCTCCCCCGGTGCCCCTCTCGCCGGGACGCACCCCCGGGCCGGGCCACAAAGGGCCCTTTCTCCGTTCACTTCTACGGATTAAAGGGGATCACACGGCCGTGCATCCCCTCCGTCCCCCCGGCTTTTCTCCCGCACACCCCGTTTCCCCGCTGCTGACGGACCTCCGGGGGATGCTGCTGATTTTTTTTTTTATTTTGATACGTTTGTTTTTTTTTTTTTTTTTTTTTTTTTTTTTTTAAAGCTCCCAAGAATTTCCTCCGGGGAGGTGAAGCCCTCCGGCTCCTCCCGTTCAGAGGAAAGTGCCGGTGACGGTAATACGGGGTGACACTAAACAAACAGTTAAAGCGGGGCTGCAAAGATGGAGTTAATTATCCCGTGAGCTCCATTTAAACCCAGACCAGGAGGGGCCGGTTTGTTTTGGCGCACGGAGCCGAGGAGCAGCGCGGCTCCTCCCGTCCCCGCCGCCGTCGATGCGGGCATACGGGGACCGAGCTCCGCTCCGGCCGTGTCCCCTCGGGCAGCGCCGGGCCGCGGGGCTCCGGTGGGGTCCGTGGGGTCCGTTCCTTTTGCTTTCATACGGCTGCAATCACCGAGCGGTGCCCGCGCTCCTCAGGTAGGTGCGTGTCCCGGCAGCAGCCCCGCAAGGCATTTTCCCCCCCTTTAAAGTCCCTTTTCCCTCCTCCTTTTTTTTCTTTTTTTTTCCTTTTTTTTTTTTTCTTTCTACCTTCCTTCCTTCCTTTCTTTCTTTCTTTTTTTCCTTTATTTTTCTTTCTTTCTTTCTTTTCTTTTCTTTCTTTTCTTTTTTTTTTTTTTGTTTCAAAGTCTGATATTAATAATCCCTCTATGCCCCTCTTTCCGGGTCATTACGGTACTGCTGGTCTCTAATCAATCCTAATGCGATGGCAATTGGAGTCTCTGATGAATGCATCTCAGGTTTCTTGTAATGGCTCTACCACATTTTCCTGGACCTCCTCCTTTAACCTGAGATGCCAGGGGGACGTCTCCGTTCTCAGCTGCTGATTACTTCAAGATGTTCGGCTGCTGCGGGGAGAGCGAGCGGCCGGGCTGCCCCCGATCAGCCTCAGCTCCGGGATGAGCGCGTTCCTAAAGCAAAAGGACCACGCCGGGGATTGAGCTCGTCGCTCCCGCGCGTGTCCGTGTGCGTGGAAAACCTTGCAGAAGTTCCCCCCTCCCAACACTTTGCGGCTACGGTTCCCCAACGCGACTCCCCCAAAGCTCCCCCCGGCGTCGTGTCCGCCAATACCCACGCGTGTCCCACCGTTCCCACTCGTTTTCTTCCCGTTTCTCAGCAGAACGGAATTTGCCACGACCCGAGGCGATGCCGGCTGCAGTTTTTTGCCCCCTTCTCACGAGCTCCCCCACCCCGAACGGGGCTGCAGGAGCAGGCGATCCCCGCTGCCACCCGCGTTCCCGACACGCGTGGGCCTCCGGCTTCCGCGCTCCCGGTAAATGCGTGTGAACTCTCGGCGGCGATCGGAAACTGACGGTCGCGTTTCCACGCACCGAGATGCGACAGAAAGAGGAATTCCCCGCAGAACGGCAGCGAGGGCTCAGCCGCGGCTGCGCTGCCCACGCGTGTCCCCACCTCAGCAGCGCTGCGGGTGAATCGCGGGCGAAAAACGAAACGAAACAGCGAACGGAGACAGCAGGGCTCAGCCCACGCGGGACGGAGCCACACGAGGGGCTGCCCACGGCGTGTCCCAAACTCACTCGTGTGCGCGTCCCGTCCGTGGCAGCGCTCCCCGCACGCGTGGCCGCACAGAACAGAACCGCCCCACGCGTGTCCCGGCGTGGGGTCGGTAGCCGCTGCTTCTTTAAGGGGTGGTGAGGAACGGGGATGCCCGGCAATGGGAGACTGAGGACAGAGTGGGAGCCGGCCACGAAAGGGTGGCTATGTGGTTGTTTTGCAGGGCCGGGGTTTGGGTTTGTATGTATGTATGTTTGTTTGTTTGTTTGTTTGTTTGTTTGTTTCCCGTGCTATGTTACAACGTTTGGTTGTTGTTTTTTTTTTCTTTTTGTGCAGAAAGCGCTGAAAATAATTCTTAAAAAGTGAGGAAAAAAATGTTAAAAAAAAAAAAAAAAGAAGAATAAGGAAAAAAAATCCATTTTGGGTGGGGGCTGCCACTCCTCCCCACGTTGTGGCAGTTCTCAACCC